ATCAAATGGATTTTTTAACTCTGTTTATATTATCTAAGAGTAGTTACTGCATTTCTTACATTTCTTAGTAGATTTTAGTTTTGATATATATTCCAAAAATAGAATTTGATTTTTTTTATATAAATACTATAGGGAAAGTACCAAACAAAGTCTAATAATTTGTGGACATAATTGTGAACATAGCAATTACTAAGTGATAAATTATGCTTTAATAGTAACACCTTCTAAAATAGAGTATTAGCAGAAATACTTCTACTATACAAATACTGCACAAAGTATTTGATACTGGGGATTGAATCCAGTGGCACTTTACCACTGAGCCACATCCCAGCCCTTTTGTATTTTGTATTTTGAGACAGGGTCTTGCTAAGTGGCCTAGGTGAAGCTGGCCTTGATCCTATGATCCTCTGTCTCAGAGTCCTGAGTTACATAGGTGCTCACCACTGTGTCTGGCTGCACAGAGCTCTTGTCTTCATAATTTCTTCCTTGTTTTATTATCATAACCATAATCAGAATCACAGAGTTTAGTACCTTTAATTCTTGGTAGATACTTTTGAAGAATCCTTTTTAGAAAAGTTAGGGGCAATTGGGAGCTTTCACAGAAACTGGGAGTTTTGCTTTCTTCCTTCCTGTTGTAACACAACATTCTCCATGCAGCACACACAGCACTCTAGTTGCTGGCCACTCTGTCCTCCGGAGGAAAGAGGAGTGATGTTATTTTGCTTTCTTGAGCAGCACAAGGAGCTTCATCCTCTGTCCTAACATTAAGAAGGACTTGTGCCTTTTCAGTTCCTGCTCCGCCTCATTTTACTGCGCTCCTCCTTCCTTGGGTCTTCATTTCTGTCGCTGCTGCACCGTGGTCTTTCCACATCTGGATTTCATAGCTGCCATCTAAGTGGGAATGAACAAATTTTGAATCTAGCCACACAATCTAGAATTAGAATCTCTTGGTCTGGCCATAGACCTTGTACTTCACTGTGCAGAAGAGATGCCGGCTGTGGCTGCAACAGTGGCTGCACTGTGGCATATTTTCCCCGTGTAGACTGTTGTAAAAGATTGACTGTACTCTTACTGTAAGGCAGGAAAATTTTACTTTTCTAACAAGAACACCAAAATGCTTATAAATTCAAACAGGAATTGTTTTTCAAAGAAAAATAAGACTTCTTGAAAATTACATAAACAGTGTTGCCACTTAAAACAGTCACAGACTCTTGTGTCTGAAAAGTGTGGTTGTACAGCTTCAGGATTCATAGACACCCCTTCTGAAATCACTGACACCCATCTGCATAACCTTGAAACCCAGGTTAAGAGTCCATATTCCCCCCACAATGGGAAGCAGAATAACGCCCTCCCCAAATATGCTCATGAAGTAATTCCTGGAACCTGTTAATATGTTTCTTTACCTGACAAAAGGGAGTTAAAGTCATAGATGCAATTAAGGTTAAATCAGTGGCCTTGAGATAGCTTCTTTGCATGGATGCAGTTAAGGGTGCTAATCAGATGACCAGGATCCTTTGATCCTGGATTATCTGGATGGGCCCCGGCTAATCACGTTAGCTGTTCAAAGCAGAGAACCTTTCCTGGCTGAGGTCAGAGGGTGATATGACCATGGAGAAAGTGTTAGAGAAGAATTGCTGGCTTTTGAAGAGGACCACAAAACAAAGATTGTGGACAGTATCTGAGAGCTAGAAGAGCAAGGGAATGGATTTTTCCCCTAAACATCCAAAAAGGATCACAGCCTTGCCAGCACCTTGATTTTAGCCCAGTGAGACCCACATCAGACTCAGTGACCTATAGAAACTTAAGATAATGAGTTTATATCATTTAAAGTCAATAATTTTGTGGTGAATTGTTATGGCAGCAACAGGAAACTGACACACCCTTCCTAGCGCACAGTGTGTTATGTATTCTCCCTTGGAGCTGCCATCCCACATCAACCTAGACAGCCACTGCATTCCTAAGAGCTAACAGAACCCAGGTAAATTTCAGATTGTGCTTCACAACCTGATTAAAGTCTCTTACCAAATGGAAATCTGAAACATAGATTTTTAAAAAATAAAAGTTAGGATACTGAGCCCATTTAATAGAAAAATAATTTTACCTTTTTATTATTGGTTGTAAGAATTGGGTTTTGAAATGGAATACTTGGCAAAATGTAAAGATCCACTTGTCTGATAGTTGTGGTTGCAAAGCCTGAATTTTTCTGACGAATTTTTAAAAGTGATTGAAAAAAAAACATGTTTGTATAAAATGTGAACTTTGTACTGCTGCCATAGTCAGCAATATCCAGTGTGATCATGTAAATAATCGATAATTGCCATTGCCTGGCATGATTTCCCCAAGGCCCCAGGAATTTACAGGATATGAGGAAGGGAGTGTTCCTGTTAGCCTTCTCTTTCTGCTAACTCGCTTTACTTTCAGATAAGTGTTCCATCTCTTCTTAAAATAATGGAAAGTTATTTCTGGGGATCATCTAAGGTTATCAGCCTTTAGAAACTTTGAATGTTCATCTGATTTTTGTTGGAAATAATGCATCAAATCTCTTTTAAACTTATTCTTAATGATTCTACTTTTTTTCTCTTTATTAATAATGTTTTAAGGTACAATTTTGAAAAAAAATTAAGTCTTTAAGGAAAGTATCTTTAATACTACTGATTACTGCAAAGCCCTGGTTCAAGCTGGTCAGCTGTCATTTTGTGTTTATCCATCTGAGTCACAAAACTTGTAAAGATGTCAATTTATTTTCATTAGAAATGGATTGCTACTAAAGAACATACCATGTTTTGTCTTTTGGTCAATAAAATGAACTTGAATATAAGTTAAACAGGTAAATGTCTAAAAGAAAAAAGCTAAATATGCCATATGTTTTTTAAAATAGGCTGAACATTTAAACCCCTTAAGGGTAGGACCTTCTTGTGGATGTAAATATACTCACATCTCTATAGCTCAAATGCATAGCATGGTGGCAGAAACATAGTGAGTATTTAGTGAATACTTGAGGAATTAAAAAACATTTCCTATTTATATTCTTTGAATGTGTACCACTTCAATCCAATAGAAACCCTACCAAAAGAAATAATAATAATTATATCATTAGCAAGACTCAGTGTCGATTAAACTCTGGTGGTCTTTGTATGCTTGAAAATGATAGTTTAACTAGGTATAGAATTCCAAGTTGACAGTTTTTTTCTCTCTGCATGTTAAAGGTATTATTCCATTATCATCTGGCAGTGGGAATATTAATGAAGAATCTGATGTTAGTTTGTCACTTCTGTGCAGATACCTTGGTTTTTCTCTATGGGAATTTTTAAGATATTCCCTCTAAATGTAATCCATCAAAATACAGACTATTTTAATTTTTGCCAATAGGGATTCTCTTTCTTTTCTCAGTTTGAAGATTCATGCCTTCTTTAATTTTCAACTATTATCTCATTAACATAATCTCTTCCATTTTCTCTGGTCTTTCCTTCTATCATTTTAGAAGTTTGGGTATGTCTTCTGACTCTTAATTTCCCTCCTTTTCTTCCTTTTAAATTCCTATATTGCATTCTGAGAAATTTTATTTTTCCAGTTAGTCAACTATTATAAGGATGTTTATTCTGCTACTTATCCAATGTATTGAGGTTCTTTCTATTTTTTATTTCAGAACTATATTTCTTTCTCTTTTTTTTTTAAGTTTGCATTTAGTTCTTTCCCAAATCTGTCTATACAATGCCTCATTCTTGCTAGTGGATTCTATTCCTTCTTTTATCTTTCTAGACCTGGTGAAAATTTAAAGTCTCATTTACATTGCTCAGATATGAGCTCTCATCTTTGTTGCATCTGACAATGTTCATGGTGTTGGGTTTCATATGTTCTTTATAATTTTTATCCTAACCCTTTTTACCCCCATTGGAATCATAACCATTCTCTGGATTATGGAAGTCTTTCTATGGTATGTTTTTGTAGTCACCCCTCATTTAGATCTGTGGTTTTCCCTGGTTCTTAGCCAATCTTTTTATGTTGGTTTTCAGCTTGGGTTTTCCATACTACCCAGGTGGTGCAAAATCAGACTCCACAATGGCACCAACTGGGCATTTCATTTTTTTCTGCAATAACTCTGACTAGAGGAAAAAGGTGGCTTGTGTCTATGCTGTGTCCTAGTTTAGGCTTTCCTTTGAAAATCAGATATTCTTCTCATACCTCCTTTGTTTTTTGTTTGTTTCTTCATTTTTTAATGCAGGGAGTTGAATCATTTCCATCTTCCCTCTGCCCTTTGTACCTGTGGATGAGGTTCTGCCCTGTGAGTTGCTTAGTGTCAGCTCTCACTCACCACTGTGTCACTTCTTTGTTGTTCACACCTAGAAACTTTCTTATTTTTGAGCTCAAATATAATTTTATTCTTGTAATTGTTGTGGAACTGTATCCAGTATTTCTCTTTGGGGAATGGAACGGGGCTTTCCACCTATTCACAATTGTCAAGGAAACTGGAACCATACGGTTTAAAATGATTTTTTAACCCACTCTTGCTAACAATTTACATTTAACAATCAGCCCATAGTCTAAAATGTTTGATTCTATCTATAGTTTACAAACTGTAGTAGCCTCTTGAAATCACTAGATATTCTTGCAATCCAGCAGAGTTTGAAAACTAGAAGTTTGGCTACTTTGTAAAATTAAGTAACAAAGACTACTCAATGATTTTGAGAAAAATCACCACTCAAATGTACTGAACTTAAACATTTTAAGAGTACCCATTTTTATTCCATCATTTATATAGTCATTAATTGGTACCTTTATTTGGGACAGTAGCTCTCAACATGTGTATCAGTATGTCCAGTCTCAGCAATAGAAATAGTTCCATTTTCCCCATTTCATCTTTTTAAAGGTCTAGATTGACATCTTCTGACAATAATTTCAGATGGAGAATGTGTACTTCATTAAAAAGAGCATATTGGGGGAAAGTAATACATCCTCCTTCTTTGACCAAAACCAACCTTTCGTTCCTTCCCTTTTTCCAGACATATAAAGAAAAAGCGAACCCAGCTACAGTAACACACACGAGGACAGACCAGCCACCAAGTGAAGGACCCGGTTCCTCTCCCCTGTGCGTTTCACACCCTGTAAGTCAGAAGAAGAAAAAAGTCTACCGTACAGACCAGACGACCTTCATAATTGGAGAAACACCAAAAGGAATCCGCAGGTATGTCACATGTGATAACATGGAACTTTAGCAACAATTATCAAGAGAAATATGGATGCTTAATAACATATACAAATTAAATTATAACCATACTTGACATAAATGTTTCAGAAAAATCTGAATTTGCATACTTTAAAAAATAAACTTCAAATATTTTAGATGTTTTTAAAGGGCTAATCCCTAAATTGGTTTTTTAAAAATGAAATCATTATATATAAAAAAATGAGCTCTTAAGTACACTTTTTCATTCATTCATTAACTATTTATTGGGCACCTAATACATGACCAGGCATTGTGCTATGTGCTGAACATACAGAGGGAAAGACAGGCATAGAGCTCACGATGTGGTAGGAAAGGAGCTGACGTTGAACCTTAAGGTTTTAAAAAGTAAAAAATCACATAAGTGAGTCGTTATAAAGAGGTGTTATAGGAAAGAAATGGACTGCATTGACAGGGGAACTGAGATGCATGGCAGGGTGGACGCTGCTCTATAGTGAGCAGTCAGGAAGACCTCTCCATACAGGTGGTGTTTGCACTGAAACCTGACAGATGACCAGGCCCAGAACCTGATTAGGAGTATCCCTGAGAGCAGCTGGATGTTCAGGGACAGTGTCAGACTCCTGAAAAATAAAGCCAACAGCCCATGAGATGAGGATGAGACAGGCGGGGCTGGAGCCTGTGGGAAGGACTCGGACTTTGTTGTGATGCAGTGGAGACCTGTGGAAGAAGAGTGGGGCCTGCTCCATGTGTTTAAAGGGTGGCTTCAGCTTCGGTGTGGGAGGGGGAAGTGGATGTGGGGAGACAGTGGGAGGGATGGGGACGATAAGGAGCCACGCTAGTGAATGCACCAAAGTGGTTGCCATGGCAATAGAGCCAAATGGATAGTTCCCTTTGGTGATGGACTGACTTGGGAAGAAAAGAAAACAGGATTGCCCCTAACTTCCTGTCTTAAGCCACAGAGTAGATTTTCTGAGTGAGAAAAACTGGGAGAGAAACGAGTTTGGAGTGAAAAACAAAAAATCAGTTCTTTTTCACTCATATGAAGTTTGTTATTCTATGGAAATGTCACACAGGCAGTGAATATGCCACTCTAGGGTTGGGGGTTTGAGTTGTAAATCTGGGCATCAGGAACATATAGATTGTAAATGGTTTTGGACCCACAGCACTGTGCGAACAGCCGGGGAGCAGAGGTGGGAAGGAGGGGAAGCCCCGACAGTGTGGAGCAGCCCTTCCTCCTGGAGCAACAGCAGCAATGTGGGCTGGGGCAGAGGCAGTGCAGGGCCTCAGGCCCCGGGGGTTTGAAATAGGGAGCGTTCACTTCATCTTATGCTGCAGCCTGGGGTGGAGCAGAAAGTGCCCTCGGTAGCTGCCAACAGAGCTCTTTGCCACTTGGCATGGGCAGTCCAAGAGAATCCGTGGGTGGATGCCAGGGTGAGGGGTGCTAGCAGGGAGCCAGCAGGCCCTGGGCAGCTCTTTGTGTTTGGATATGGAAAGGCGCAGTAGCCGGAGGGTACCATGGGGACCAGGGTGAGGTGTTTTGAAGTTGGAAGATAATTGAACTACGTAGGGTGTGTTGAGGGAGAAGACTCATGGGGAATGGACCTTGCAGAGGTGAGGACAGGAATGACACCCTGGAGAGGCAGTGTCCAGACCAGTGGCCACAGCTGGCCTTGGAGAGGCACTGAAAAAGAAGGGACCATCATGGACACAGACATAGCATTTTCTCAGTGAATCTGCAATTAAAGCCATATTCAGAGGGAACAAAGTTATCAAATAAATTACAGAACAGGAAATCAAGCTTAGCTGGACTGGAATTCCTGGGCGATGTGAGTCCCCATTTTGGAGTGAGTTTGTACAACCATCCATCCATTCCTGCAGATTTTGTCCAACAAGCTCCAGTTGCTCTGTTGCAGGTACAGAACAGAGAGATGGCCAGGTCTTACCAGGGGCTAGATCGAGGGGAGAGAGTCAAGAAAGCTGAATGCTGTTTGTAAAAGAATGATTACAAAATGAATCAAAGCTGAACAGAGGAGGAGAGCGAGCCAGTGGGAGTGAGCGGTGGTCTGGAGGGCTCAGTGAGGCCAGGAGTTCTCGACAGCACTGCTGTCCTGGGCCGGGGAGCAGCTGAGTGGGAGCATAAGACGATTGCGTTCCAGGCCCAGGAGGTTGTGCAGCTGGTGGTGATGACAGTGGCAGATAGGACCCTGGAAGCAAGCTGACGTGAACTGAGATGAGTCTTTGGAGGTCAGTGACGAAATGGGTGGGCCAGGTTTTGGGTGGCAAGGCCATGTGGACACTGATGTTATGGATACTGATAACAGAGGGTGGAGCAGGAAGCTGCATCTGGAGTGTTTAGCAGGAAGCAAAGGCCAAAGGAGGCTTACAGGGCTGGCCCTGGTGGCCCTGGGACAGGGGAAAATGATGTTGGCTCTGTGGGTTCAAAATGCTTCCCTGGCAGGGGGTGGGGGGTGTACCTCCCAGGGAACTGGTCTTCAGCTGCCCTGGAAAGACTGGTCCCTCAGCTCCTTGGGAAGCTGGGGTGGTGGCTCTCGAGAGCTGCCTGCTGTTGTGCAGATGGGCAAGCATGTCCCTGCCTGCACAAACATTGGTTCCCAGGACTTTTGCAGGTTATCTTTCACTCTGGGCAATTATGTTTCTGAGGCTGCCCATGGACATCTCATCAGTCTTTAAGGAATACAGGTGCCTTTATTCCTTTGGCAGTGTGTATTTTTTATAAAAGTGTAACAATTAGTTTTGCCTCCTTTTTTCTTCTTTCAGATAGATAGATAGAGGATTGACTCCAGGGGCACTTTCCCACTGAGCGACATCCCCAGCTCTTTTTATTTTTTTATTTTGGGGCATGGCCTTGCTAAGTTGCTAAGGCTGACCTTAAACTTGTGATCCTCCTGCCTCAGCCTCCCGAGCCACTAGGATTACAGGCATGTGCAACTGTACCTGATGCCTCTTGCTAAGTATAGGGGTGAGGATTGTCTAATATTAGAGTGCCAGGGTCTGATTCCCCTGGTCCCCACCAGTCATCCTGGTCAGTCATTAAGGCTCTGAGCCTCTGCAACCACGTGATCATCTGAGTGAGGTTCAGCCTGCCGTTCCTTCAGAAAGCCTAGGCAGAGACAAGGTGACTCCAGTTGTGCTGCTCCCTGCCTCCTCAGGGAAAGGGGAGAGGATGTGGAGTTTTCTCCATGATACAGAACTACTCTTCATGCCCTTGCTGAATGATACCTATCTTTGGTTTCCCTTTTTCCTCTTTCCCCAAGTGGTTTATGGTAGTTTACTCAGGCTTAGTGAGTTTTGCTTGCAAAGTGACTAGCTTTTGCCCCTGATTGTACTACCTTAAATTCTTGGAGAAAGTTCTTCTGAAGACCCAGAATTAGGAAATCAAGTTAAAAGTCAAAAATAAAATGAATGATAATCATTACTTTTCCTGTTAGGGGCAACCATGTGGCATACTTTTCTTGCAGACTACTCAGGCTAAACAGGGTTTGAAACAGCTGTCCTCCCAGAGGTGACAGACCACAGGGTCATGGGTGAGGTCATGGTTTCAGCCCAGCAGAGGTGAAGTTTCTTTGGCAGCTGCCAAGACACTACCAAGTCTTGGGTAAATAAAAGACATCAGCTCGCAACCCTGCCAATCGCTAACTCTTTGCAAGCACAAATATTTGTTAGAAAGGTCACAAAAATGGATTTGGAGATGATTAATAAACAAAATAATATCATATTACCTCATTTGAACTAAAAACTGGAACCTTTTAAGAACATGCTCACTTTCCAAAAAGAACATTGGCAATTTCTAAGAAAGAAGTGTGGGAGCACACACATGGGGGTAAGTTAGTATTGTGTCGGAGATGAGAGTCGCTGGTGGTCAGGTGTGTGTGTGTCTGGATTTGGAACATTTAATAAGACACTCTAGTGAGTACTAGAAGCCACAGTACTCATCTGAAGTCACAAAAGGAAGAAGCAAGCACGCCCTATGGAGTGCCACTAAAGCCCAAGGAAACACACACTTTATGTAGCCCAGAATGGCTGGTAAAAAAATAATAATAACATGACATTAAAGTTCCTACTTACTTATGTACACTAAAAAGAAATCATTATTTTATCCTAAGAACTCTCTATTTGCATCAGATAAATTCAGTCTTCTCACCTTGGCTGTTGACCCTTTATGATTGTCAGCTGTCCCTTTGCAGTTTCTCCTGTCCCTCCATGCACCTTATCCCCTTGGAAGTGAACCTGTGTGTGTCCCCTCTTCCCGGCAAGCTTCCTCACTCATCTTCACCTGACCTGAGATGACAGCAGAGAACCCCACCCCCAGTTTGCCCACCAGTAATCCCTGGAGTGGGTGCCCCTGCTGTGGGTGACAATTGGCCTCTGTACTTGGTACCTCTGCCCTCTTGTAGTTTGACTTTCCTGCATTTGTCCTCCCCAGTTAAGACTATAAACTCCTTAAGGAGTTTTGTTCACTGGTGTGTAGTACTTAGCACATATTAGGGCTCTATAAATATTTGTGGAATGAATAAATGGGTTTTTAAAAGAGCTACTGTATAAAATACAAGTAAAAATCCTAAAACTTTGGAATTTTAATTATATGCTACAACACTATCTTTGGCTTTTTTTAAAGAAGTATTTACAAACGTAAATTCAATATCAGCAATCAGTACCCTCTGTCTTCTTCTTGAGCTACCATAATGGGTAACGTAACAACAGAGATTAATCCTCAGAGTTCCAGACTCAGGAAGTCCAAGATCAGGGTATTAGCCAATTCAGTCTTTGATGGGGGTCTTCTTTCCACTTTGCAGATGGCCTCCTTCTCACTGTGTTCTCGTGTGGCAGGAGGGAGGGGTGGAGCGGGAACTGTGAACAAACAGAACAATAACATCCCATTACTTCCAGCTCTGTGGCCTCTCTTCTCATGAGGACACTAATGCTGCCAGATTGGAACCCCACCCTTACGACCTCATGACCACTGATCCCCTAGAGGCCCT